TTATAACCATATATAGGCACATCTTAACTATATATGGGAATAAAACAGTTTTTATCAAAGCAAATTTGATGGTGTGGACAACCATTATAGTGATTAAAGTAAAGCCCTTTATTTTCGAGTGCCCTAAATGTTTGAGTTTTTCGCACGCCCTGAATTTTCAAGATTTTTGATATAAAAACAACCACGAAAACATAGGGCGTGCGAAAATTCTGTACGACAGTTTTGTCTTAAGCAAACCAATCAATAGCCAGTATACAACTGATATTCTGTCAATAAAAATTTAGTGGAAATATTCTTGCTTCTTTGTATATTATTTTTTAATCATCAATAAAATAAACAGTAGTAAAAGTCCTTTGTTCTTTTAAAATGTGTATAATCTGAGGGTAGGGATTCTTGGTAAACATTTTGGTTAAAATTTTTTTGGCCTACATTTGCTGTAAAATTTTGATTTGAAAAGCCTTGGTCAAGCTTCCACAGGCAGGCTGGAATAGCTGAAGCTGTTGGAAGATTTATAAAAATCGGGAGAATACTGTAGAAGATTACTCCAAAATAGTTTTAAAAAAAAAACGGTAGCTCTTGCTATAATATAGCCTAAAAAACATAATGGTAGGTTTCTGCACCAAGTTAAAGAGCAACTGGAATTGTGAAATTTCAAAAATAAAAGGACGAGAAATACTTCAAGTTGTAAAATCACGAAAACATATGGCCGTGAAAATAAAGGACTTTACAGTAGCCAACAAATACCAGTTAATATTTGCCCACATACGGATGTGTTAGTTATCATCCTGCCCATAGAAAAATCACAGATAAAACTTATAGTGTAAACAGCTAAGAGTTCCATTCTTACTGAAATATTGTAATTGAAAATTCTAATAATGAAGATTGATTGATTGATTGATTGAATAATGAATTAATTGACTGATTGTAAAATGCATACCCATCTTCAGGATCAACAGCAATAGCTCTTGGTTCGTCTAAATCATCATCAATAAGTACAAGACGTGACGTTCCATTTAAACGAGAAACTTCGATTCTGTTGCTGCCGGTGTCTGTCCAGTAGAGGTTGCGCGAGATCCAATCGACAGCAATTCCATCCGGGCTTGAGATATCCCGCTGAATAATGTACTCGCTCTCTATTAAAAGCAATCAGGAAATAACTTGTCAAGAAACTCACATTGTTCGACAGAAGTCAACCTTAATTCCAACTTACTATGAAATCAGTTAAGTATAAAATTGTATTGCCCTATGTATCTGTCATAATATAAAAAAAAAATCCTACAAAGTAATTTAAAAGGCAGTTACTATTGTTACAACAGTCTTAATTGACCTAAATCTGATTAAATGAATGTTCTAATTAGAAATTTCTTTTTAGACTGATAATGGCAGATCCAAGAATTCCAAAGAGTGGGGAATCAGGGAGGACTTTCACAGACGGAGGGTATACACCACCTCTAGATGGTCGGAAAAAGCACTCTCAAACTTTAAAAATTTGAATACAATTTTTTTTTCCCCAATTCTTTAAATCTGCCACTGACTGGTGTAAAAATAGCCACAGCAAGATGAAAACATTGCAAATGGATATTTTCAAAGGAAAAACCTTATTATTAACATCCAATGATATACAGACATCAAAACAAATGGGTTTTTTTTCGTGATTTACAGATGTTTCACTACAATAACCATTAAATTAATTATTACCAGCAAATGTAATGTAAAGAATAGGCCTACAGACAAGCCTATTACTTTCACTGCCTATTGTCCACTACTACTAAGCCCCGCCCTACTTGCTTATTGTTGCTCAAGTCCCACAAAACGACAGTGTAAAAACATATGAATGCAAACATGTGGGCTTGTGGGACAACACAAGTTTGTAGGACGTGCATATCCCTGGCCCTTTCGTGATTGGTCAGTTGTTTATAAAGTAAAAACATGTACAGTATACTGATGTCTAAAACTTGTGCTAATTTTTAAATATTAATAAACACCAGCTTATCACTTACAGTCTATTAGATGCTATCTATTACTATTGTAATATATTATCTTAATTATCGCAGAGTATCATGTAAACAATCTCATCAAAAAAGCATTGTGGGATAGATCACAGCTCCACTTGACAGCACGTCAATCAAAAAAATTCAATTACTGCGAGACTACAATCATCTTCACAGAAAACGACAAACAAAGGTAGATATGAACAGAGATTTAATTGCCCAACGATCACCAAAAAAATATTATACAAAATGAACATGTTTCAGCTGCATTCAACCATGTACATGAATCAATAAATTGAGGCGCTTAAGAGGACACTATTGAAATATGGCACAAAGTCCTACGAAATATCAGCCAAAGCCACAATGGAAGATTGCCAACGCTGATTATACCTGATCAATCACTGTCGGAATTAAGTCCACTGCAAACAACCTGAGAACCAGTTTGATATGCATCTCTTTCCTGAAAGAGATCTACGAATGACAACAATGGGCTGGCCACTTACAATCTGGCTTAGCTACCTAGCTTGCACGTCAGTTAAATCGTAGAGAAATTAATTATCAGCAGATACTGTAAATAAGGCAAATATAGCATAGTTGCATAATACAACAGGTTTCCCTCCAATTAAAGAGGGTTTTAGTGGTCTTTAGAAACTTTGATCTCTAATTAGAATCCCTCTAATTAAAGACAAATTTATGCACGTTCAAGATTTACTATAGGCTACATTTATTAGCTCTACAGTAGCAAGACCCTACACATGGACTTCATCAGAATTATAGAATAAAACATAAAATACGTAAAATTGTTTTATTCCAAGTGTTTTAGAATGAATGTACTGTATATCGTTATTGATTCTTCAATCTCTATTTGTAGTCTATATCCATGAAGACTTGGTTCTACCAGCCAAAACCCTTAGCAAGCAGTGGTTAAAACTGTATTTAGCGGCGCCCTGAATTACCACTTGGCCACTCATCTGCCACTTTACTTTAATCATTTGACTTGGTATAAAGTTATTTCCTGACAATTATTTTTCTTCAAACGGATGGATGGATTTAACTAACAAAAATAATATTATTTGTGGTTTTGATGTATACATGTTCGACAAAATGTAGCCTAATTAAAGTTTCTTTTATGCTATGTCCGCATGCTAAACATTGACTTCAATTTTTAGTTCAGTAGTATGTGTCGTCTGTTTATTTTGGATAGGATAATCAACAAGACCGGATCATCAGACTAAAGGCAAATAAAGCTGAAATGTCAATCTTACTACCAACAAAGACCTAGCAAAATAGCTGCTTCATGGGCCATGAGTTAGCAATAGAATAAACATATAAATGACACTTTGGAGTTCTAAATAGACATGCTAATGGGTTAACTTTGGCAGGAAATGTTGGCAAACTCCCAATCAGTTATCATTGTGATGATGTAAATAGAGTGCCAATACCCAAGTGAAGTAGAATGTTGGAGTGGGTGGCGAGCAGCGGTTGCATTTAGGGCTCTCGACTTTGAGTAGGGGTTCAATTAATAGGCATGCAAACATGTAAATCTTAAAATGTGTACATATCTCAGCAACCGGGTCAATATCATCAGATAACAAAAACTGAAGTACCAAGTTTTCATTTTCTAACATTCTAACAAGCATGCATCCCGGAAAAATATAGTTCTTTCAGTACAGTACGGCAAGTTCATGTATAGTCTCACTATTTTTTAGACAAAGTTCAACCTAGTTGCACATTTCTCTTTTATTTTATGAAGGGTCCATTGATAATTGAATTAAAACACCTATTACAAAACAGCAGTGCATTTACCTGTACCTATTTATAAACTAAGGCCCTATAAAAAATATTATTAGTTTATCACCCTATCTGGGCAGGAAAAGTGATGCCAAATATCACCCTTGGGTTGTTTGCTGGTGCATTAATATTCAAAGTAAAACATGATTTGGATAATGCAAACAATATCTACTAACTATTTAATAAAATAAATGAAAACAATTAATAAATAAAATTTTAATATAATAATAATAATTTTTTTTATTGGGCCTAATAATGGACTTTTAGTTCCAGATTTTGTGTAGGTCCTTTTGTACTAAAGTGTATTAAATAGTTCTTTTTTTTCCTAAAATGATAATAATTCATTGGTATAACTGTAGATGGCCTTTCAAACCTTTGAATTTTAAGCTACCAAGTTTTCATTTTCTAACTGATGAATAAAGTTGTAAAAATGACTTGAAAAATTAGATGCTGTTGGAGTTACTACTTCAAACTTTCGCTTTGCATTCACTTATGCCTTTGTACCTATGCTTGTCTTTCTCCATCCAAGAGTAGACCTATATTGGGTCCCTACTGTAGCTGATATAAACTGGGAAGGTTAAAAAGGAGGCGTGGAAAAGAACTGTCCATCTTAATGCTTTGACTTTAGTATGATGGGTTCCTAATACCTATTCACCTCACCCACTAACATTAGTAATGAATATGGAAGTAGGTCCATTTATTATGGTCACTGTCAGCCAAATTTGGATATCTGTATTATTTGAACTTTCCACAAAGACAGGAGCCAATTCTTATATTGATTCGTAATGTCTCTTGTTATGAGAAGAATGTTAAAAGAGTTGGAAAAATTCTTTACTCTGTTGCAGACAATACTATGTAAAACCACAAGTAGCTACCTCGCATTAATGTGGTAGCCAGCATGTACCATACTGTATGACAATGTGTCAATCAAACTAAATATGAAAAGTCAGGATGTTCGCATTTATTATTATTTCCACGCCGCCTCCCACGCTTAAATCACTTCACTGGATACTGTACTGTATTAAACCATAGCCAATAGAAAGCCACAGAGGATTGAATGTATAAGGTGCTAATACTAACATGGAAAGCAATAAATGTGAGGTCTCACCACGAAACGAGACGCATCGTTGGTGAAATCATATTGAGATATTCACCAAAAGAGGCCAAAGTCAATATTTTTACAAAATTTTGATTTTAATGTTTTTGAATAACTTGATACTTATATTTTATGATTGTATACTTTGTAAGTGAATTTTCTTGTCAAAACAGTGTTCTCTGCACATATACTGTAATTCTAGTCATATTATTTGTACAGGTTAGTTTATTTTTTTGAGGTCGATTTTCTCAAAACGTGGTTCTTATACACCTAAACTTTAAATGTTCGCATCTCTAGATTTTATTTATTTATAATGTGATCGACCCAAATATAATATAAACTGGATTTTTGAATTTCTAACCATGAGACTCATTTTGTGGCGAGACCTCACAAATGCCCTGGCGCCAGTTTACATACAGTATCTGACATACTATTTCCTTAAAATACTGTATAAACCCTCGTCCCAATCTACAGTAATCAAACAAGGTTATTTAATAATTCCAAGGACTCAATCCTCATGCAACTAAAAATGTTTTCATCAATGATCTAATTTTCAATATTTTGTATTATAATTCAGTATTCAATTTTTTAAATATTAGTGAATGAATTTGACTGAAATAGTTTTCTTTACCAAATGATATCTTTAATTTTGGTGAAAGGAAATCAGCCAACATCCCAACTCATAACAACATAAAATTAAAACTCGTCCTCAAACATGAAAAGTAAATAGCGCGAACGCACATCCACACTGGATAAGGTATCACTAATTGACTTGAGATAATTGCATGGTCAATAAATCATTTTCTTGCTGCTCCCTTGCCAGTAATCCGGAGCTTAGGAAAACAAGCGGAGTTGATTCACATCAGCCAGGAGGCTGTCACCTACTGTGACGAGTCAATTGTACCATGACATCTGAATTACACACTGTTCTTGGAAACCAGCAACTTTGACTGATGATTGATTTCCGTAATAGTTTTCAAAAATCATAAAATTGTTATCGACATACCTAAGCCTGATCAACAAGAGATATTTGTGGCAGTGAAGTGCCAAGGAAAGGTCAGGGGAAATCTCCCCCACCCCCTTACCGGAAAGGCTAAATCTAACCAACACCACATGAAGATTGTCGGACCAAAAATATTAACTTGCCAAGTACAAAGATATTGTGAATGCAAATCCGAATACTATGGTCTAAATAAAAATTTTAGGCCAAGCTAAACAGTAAAATTTCTCCCCATAACCCCACCAGGGATTATATTTCACAACTTCATTAATTTTCCTTTCTAGAAACATAAATCTTAATACTATATTAAAATGATTTCTAACATTCCACTGCAGAATTCCATTGAAAATTCCATAATTTCCATTAAAATTGAAATTTCCCAGAATTTACATAGAATTCTAAGGATTATGGACTGTAATATAAGTAATGAAAAAACTTTTCTTGTATCATAAGCAGTTGGGTTTGAAATTCCTAGGCTCATTTAGATAATGACGCATATTAAATGTATGGTTTATGCTGGATGCAAATTATTCCCAGTCCAGTAACAAACATTATGTTTGTGTAAATTTCGAAGTACCTAGATACAGTAGGAGCCGATGATTCATTGCAAAAGGCAATAATCAACCAATTTGTCTTAGAAGAAATCATGTAAATAAGTAAAACATCAAATGTATAAATATTGTATTAACTAGAAAGGCTCTGAAGAGAGGAGTGAAATACAGGAGCAGACCAACAAAGTGCTGTGTGTCAGACTTATGCATTGAAGCTCTGACGCTCAAGGGACAAAATATCATGCAATGGTACTGGTACAGGCATTTATAAATCCGCCTTTTCCTTGAGGTTTCAGTATAATGTGTCAGCCTATAGTGGCCCTATCACCAATACGACAAATTTCCCTCTCTTTATCATTCTAACCACTGTTCTTTCGATCGAAATACACTAACATACTGTAGTTTTACCAAGCACAGTTAGATCAAATCATACACGCTGTTCGCAGACTTGCTAAAACTGTACTTTGTGCACAAGCATGCATCTCGGAAAAATATAGTTCTTTCAGTTCAGTACGTCAAGTTCATGTATAGTCTCACTATTTTTTTAGACAAAGTTCAACCTAGTTGCATATTTCTCTTTTATTTTATGAAGGGTCCATTGATAATTGAATTAAAACACCTATTACAAAACAGCAGTGCATTTACCTGTACTTATTTATAAACTAAGGCCCTATAAAAAATAATATTAGTTTATCACCCTATCTGGGCAGGAAAAGTGATGAGGGAGGGAGGCTATTTTTTTTTTTTTTTTTTTTTTTATTTTGCTAAAGCCAAATATCACCCTTGGGTTGTTTGCCGGTGCATTAATATTCAAAGTAAAACATGATTTAGATAATGAGATGTGTATAAGAGACAGGGTTTCAGAAATGAAAACAATTAATAAATAAAATTTTAATTTTTTTTTTTTTAAAGATTTTTATTCAATTTTTTTTTTTTTTTTCCAGTACCATAGAAAACATGCGTGCGGGGGTGATAAACTAATCATTTTTTTTATTGGGCCTAATAATGGACTTTTAGTTCCAGATTTTGTGTAGGTCCTTTTGTACAAAAGTGCATAAAATAGTTCTTTTTTTTCCCTAAAATGATAATAATTCATTGGTATAACTGTAGATGGCCTTTCAAAAATTTTAAGCTAATGTACTTTAGACTTTGAAAATAAAAATCTGTCCAACAAAGCAAATATTTCAAAAAATAGTTTCAGACAAGGCTCAGGTGAAAGGTCCTTGGTAAATTGCCACTTTGCAGGCATCACAGTAATAAAATTCTCATCCACTTAATAATAGCATCAAGCTTCACTGAAAAATTTGTCTAGGCTTATGGTTAAATAATTGCAGCCAAGGCTGAGAGCACTCCCCAGGGATCTGGCATGGCACATACTGTGAATTCTAAAAGGCTAGGCAGAAGCATGCAGTACTGTAGGGGCATAGGGTGTATTTTGGGTATCAGTTTGAAAGAGCCAGGACTCAATTCAGGGGACTTGTATAGATACTGTACTTGAAGTGATTTAATCCACCTCTCTCACCATTCAGGAGGTACCTTGTTCAGAAAACACCAAAGTGTCAAATAATAAGTTTGATCTTCTAGTTATTGTGAATTAAGTACACCTTTTTGTCATAAGAACCAGTCAAATTTTGTTTCAGGCTCAATGTTCTTACATTTTTTTGCAAATTTCTGGCTAAAAATGTTCTTCTTTTCAAAGAAAATAATTACTGTATAAGACTGACATACTGTAGAATGGAATCATGATATAATTTGTAAAAATTCAGTGTTTGTTGGACTTTAAGGTCTACAATTGTTTAGAACCCAATATTTAACTAAAATATATTTAAGTGCAACAAAGTCCGCGATGTTGCCCACTCTTGGGCAACATCGTGGACTTGGCGGAATGCTGTGAGGGGAGACCTCTGCAGGTTAAACCTCAATTGAGAAGTTGCCGCTGATCGCACTACCTGATCACACAAAATACACCCACAGAGCTAACTATACAGCCTCTCAACAGTCTAAACCATGCAGACTTTAAATGATGATGATGATGATGATGATGATGATGATGATGATGATAATGATGAAACAGCTTGGGAAACTTAACCAGGCTCATGGTTTTTGGTTTTTCTAAACGAGGGGATTGTACATTAGACCTTGTTCTGCGAAAATCCATTGATAAGGATGAATTAATTCAAAATATAATTGCTAAATAATAAGACAACACAAATTAAAATTAAAATTTTTTCTACCATTCCTTGATCTTTCAAAAATGAAGTTAGCACATATACATTAAACCTCTAATTATATTAAACATTTAAATCTTGTGTTTTAATCTTATGTTTACTAGTCGTACTATATATAAAAATAACAATTGTTTACTCAAGATAAATGGTACTTATTTGCAGGTCAATTCTCACAAGATTAAATAGCAAATAAAAAGACTTCATAGTGACAAATAACAATTTAATTTGAAATACAGTAAATGAATAATAGCCTGATATTTAAGGTAGTAATCATTGTGGTTTACAGTGCAAACACTACCAAGATTACATGAGAAACCCTATACAACAAGTAGGTCACAGACCAATAATGCACTCGTAGTTTTAAAACGTACTGTAGTAGTACTTTACTTTGTACAATGACAAGCATTTTGTTTTAACGACTTTTGAATGTACAATAAACAACTTTTTGTAATTAGCTAATGTTTCTGTAAATATTAGGGGGATAGTTAGACTGTATAAACTATGAAATGTGAAGAAAATAGGACTACAGTACAAAGAAATGAGAAAAAGGAGAAGGAACACGTATCTTGAACATAAAACAACTGTGTAAGCAAAGAAAAAGTTTACATTAATAACAGTTAAAGGCTCTTCCATGTAAAATATGGTTCTCTCACACAGAGCCAAAAAATATCAACATCAGCCTCAGATTGGCTATTTTTATTAAAACATGATTTACCTGTGCCATCCAGTTTTGATCGTCGGATAGCATGTTCTTCGTCATCGGTCCAGTACATGAAGCCCTCGATGGGATCGTAGTCAATAGCAATGGCATTTTTCACGTCCTTGAGTTGAATCACGACGTCGGTGTAATCTGGTGTGTCCAACGAAATCCGCCGAATATCTCGCCTTTTTGCCAAAAGTAGAATCTCACGAGGGCCTACAAAAATGATATGGTTAGATTCCTTGACTATAAAGATAATAATAACAATAACAATAATAATAATATTCCTTTAATGAGAATCTATCAAATAAAAATAACCTGTAGCAGTTGTTAGTAATAATTTTTTTTTTATTTTTAAATGGCTAATTATAATATTATAAAATGACACATTTAATATTATTAAACCATAGTAATTACTGTATAGTTCTAAAAAATTAATGGTGTTTATCGAAATATGAATGGACTGCAATATCCAATATAAGCAAAAGGACAATGTCAGCTATGAAATATACAATTCAATCTGAGTCAATAAACTACTTATTTCAAATGAATATCATATACAAAATCAATAGATGGCTAACAATATCTTCCTCGTGAGCTTCACTAACACACTTCAAACGTTTGATGGATATTGATTTTTTTGGAGTCGCCTAGCTGATGCCAAACACACCTTTACTAGGCTAGTTTCTCATAACCTAATCAAACTAAGTAACCAATATACAATCAAATTGGTAGGGAGAGAAGTAGATCACGGTTTAAATACATGCCCTGTGGGTTTATTTCTAAAAGGTTAACCTTTTTTGAAAAATTAAGAAAATAGTACTCCTCTCCTGTATGAAGGTTTTGATTTTAAACAGCATTTGCTGAAAACGTAAATTCAACATTTTGTTTTCTATTTAATATAACAATGAAATATTCAATTAACAAATTAGGATAAAGCGTCTTATTCAGGTATTAGGGGAAAAATAATTTTGTTTTTCTTCCTCTACAAAGGACAGGACATGTGCACAACTATATCTTATGCTGCTTAATCATATGCAGGCAAATTTTTGGTTTCTGAAGAATAATTTTCTTATAAAAAGTGATAAACAATGATGAATAAGAATAACAGGTGGATTTTTTTTTTACTTAAAATGTATAAAATAATAAAATCCATATACCATCTGCACAGGTATGTTGGTCTTCTAGGAGCAACACACCAGTTGGGCAGGCACAAGAATAATGCAATTCATTAGGTGCCATCAGGCAGAGGTGTGAACATCCTCCATTGTTCTTTGAACAAGGATTGGTATCTGTAAACAAAAGTCAAAGATTAATATGTACAGTAGGTTAAAACAGAAGTTTTTGATCTTGTAAACAAACAACCAATGCTGTCTACTGATGACATACAGCCTTCAGTTAAATTACATTTTTCAGTAAAATTTACTATATTGTTCCCATCGAGATTTAAACTCAAGATCTTTCAATTATCATAAAAATGCTCTATTTTGTTTTTCATAAATCTGATCTGAACTTCTTGTACAGTACTGTAGGCTTAATTTAGAAAGCCATAATTTTTTGAGTAAAAATTATGGTATTTAAATCTAGAAAATTACTTTAAATTCAAACGTCAGTTAACATACTACCTTCATACAATTGTGAATGTTGGCAGTTATCCAGGGAGGTTGGTGTATCTCACTAGAGCAAGCATTTCAATGTCATCTTTATTGTTTCAACATTGTGAAGTAATTTGCAAACTCTTAAATTTTTAAGATCCATTTATTAACTGGTATAGTAAAAGCCAGCTAATAACTTTAGTTAAATTATGTCTAATTCAGTAACTTTTGTATGAAAACTCAGAATACATTCCAAAGAGAATATTTGGATAAAATACCTACAAAAACACACCAAAAAAATAACAAAAGCTATCAATGGTATTAAAAGTCCCGAAAATACAGTACGCACTGCTGTCAGATTTTCACGCACCCAAAATTGATGTTTAGTTGATCAAGTCTAAATCATGGTAGTAATCAATATACTTTCACTGAATTATCTTATTGTTTATTTCATGTCACAAGACTTTCATTCAGCCAGCATTCCCAGGCATCTACACTATTGTTGAATAATTGTTGATTATTGATTGTTTATTCACAATAATAAGTGATATACTTAATGTAAGACACACCTCATTTTTAATTACCTTGTTTATAATTGGCTAGTTATAACTTTGATTTTAATCTGTTTGGTAGGTTTTTATTTGCTTTCTGTTATACTTCTGTAAATACTGTAATCATATATGATATATGGATCGGGTGAGATTTTCTCATCAGTATTCTCGAAAATGATCAAATAGATCAAAAAGTTGAATCTCAAAATGTCTCTTCGGAGTTAATACTGTCTTTTTATTTTATTTAAGACTTATTAGTGGATCCTCTGGCTTTTTTTTAATCAATATAAACACATGAACTTTATAATGATCTTTAAAAGTAATGGTGTTAAATGATCAATGCCAGCAAGTAGTCAGCTGTAAGAATGGTTGTTGCAGCAGCTGCTAATCGGTAAGTCAACATTAATATCCAGGGTCCAAATCTCCTTTCAGTCATTAGCCTGTGATTCTTCTTCAGCCATTTTAAATCTCTCCCAGAAATATAACTTTTAGAGTTCTACTTAGTGGTTGTTCTAATAAATAATAATTCCTACTGGCTTCTCACTGATTCATCAGCTTTCTCCTCACTTTCAAAGCCCTTCTTTCTAAACAGCCTGTTTACACTATCAATTTACACAACCAAAATTTTATCTTAATGAATGCACACTTGGATCATTCTGTGTTCACTCACAGCCTCCAGAATTATTATTCATAGTTAAATTTCTTTTGTAGGACATTATTCTTCTGTTGCTTCATTTAATAAATGGAAGTTTGTACTACAAGTTTTTGGGGCCAGTAGGTAACTTTTGTTCTATTTAGTCGAGCTTAGTGTAAATGTGCGTGGTGCGCTTTTATGTGGTGTGCATTCATTTGTTTGAATTGGTAGTTAGCGGCGCTTGATTGGTAAAACGCATCGATTAGGCCAAATAAATAAAAATTAGTTTCTCATCCCCTTGCGTATCAATTTTCTGTGCCGCGCCAATTTTTTTTTTGTTTATTTCTTTTATTTTACGAAATGCAAAAAAATGTGGCTAATAAAATTCCTCTCTCAATTGTTTGTGGTTGAGGATACATGGTATGAATATGTCTAGTGCTTATTTGCTTTCAATGTGTCTACTTGGTAAAAGTGAGAAAGTAGTACTGTAGCTGTTTTGCAGCGACCATCTTGGATTTGCCATCTCAGGAGTAAAAAAAAAAGTGCCCTCGGTCTCCTTTTTTTCAAAATATTTTGACGAGAAACTATTTTTTTTTTACTTGGCCTTAATTGAGACTTCATATATTATTTTTATACAAGTTTTATTCTGCTCTATTTATTATCTTTACATGTTCTTTATATTTATAAGAAAATTAAGTGTGTTCCCTCTATATTTTCCAACCTGCATAATGCCACGTCCTGGCCTATGTCCTGGGTTAATTTGTCTCAATTGATGCGTAAAGATGCTTTTGTAAAAAGTGATTAGAAAATTACTTACTTGATTTCCTTTGCCTTGCTGCTGAATAAACATGTATATCCATGGGTGAGAAAACATCATTTTTTACAACTTTTCTATTGCTTCCATTATATTTATTACAAGAAGAAATTCTATGCAGCTCCCAGTCTGTCCAATATAAAGTATCTCTGTACAAAGTTAATGCAAAAGGGTGGGGCAGCAAATCAGCTCCCTCAACCACGGAAGTCCTATTAGATCCATCAAAATTGCAACTATGAATAAACGTTCGTTTGGCATCTGCCCAGAAGAGCCGAGACTCTTCATAATCTATTGTTAAGCCGTTCGGCCAATATATATTTTCATCTATAACTACAGAGCGCTGTGTACCGTCCATCCCAGCACGCTCAATTTTTGGCAATTCCCCCCAATCTGTCCAATACATATACCTAGACGAAAGAAAAAAAGAGACATCAATCCGTTAAATTTCATTAAAATATCAGTGTGAAAAACAATTATTTTTGTACAAACCTGACATACCATAAATGCTCGAAAAGTAATGCTCCCGAGGGCCACACCAAACATGAATTTTTTCTCTAAGCACCTCTCTCGAATAAGCGCAGCGGCTGTTATTCGAGAATAAATGCATGTGTGCAATGAAACACTTTAGAAACAGGGTAATAAACACAATGTTGCCTATCCAGTGTTGAAAGGAATAACACAATGAAGATGCAAGCATATCTTTATAAACGTTTATTTACAGTACGATGATGTAGGGTCTATGATAAGCCTACCGAACTACAGGAATACATGAGATAGGTAACGTGGGAACAAGCATGAAAAGCACGCCAATATTTTTTAATAAGCGCTGCTCTTGAATAAGCTCCGCTCTCGAATAAGCGCCGCACTGAAGCCTCCAAGAATTTTATAAGCGCCACGGTGCTTATTCGAGCATTTACGGTACTATTTTAGCAGTAACACTGCAATCTTAACACATGCTGCAAAAAAAAAAGTATTCAGGTGATGCTTGGTTTAAAAATATTAGTTTAATTAGTACTGTACTGTAACAATCTCTGCACTCTTTCTTATGAAGTGTATTGAAGTTAAATATTTGGTGGGTAAGATGCTTCTTTCAATCCTAGTGTAGGGTCCTTGGTTTTATTAATATTAGTTTAGAGTATAACTAAGCACTGTGGGAGAACAGTTAGTTTTCTACTACTGAACAGTTACGGGTTATCCATTATTTAATATTTTAACAAAAAAAAAACATGAATCTTTCTGTGAACCCTTCCCTCCCTATGAAAAAGTACAAAACAAAATGATGATTTGTTAATTTCAGGTCATCATTTATATTTTTAATAAACCAAATGTCTACACTGTCAACTACTCCCCCCTCCCCGCCCATTAAAATGCATGTTTTGTACTCTTACGAAAATGACGAAAATTATGGATGGGTCCGAAAGTTAATTAATGTTATCGTTTCTTGTATTCCATACTGAATGCAGTAACATGCTGTTAAATCTTTATGTTTTGCGCCTGTCCGTTTACTTGTACAATACCAAGTCTTCACAGGAGTAGGCCTACTGTACCTACCTGGTACTGTATGTTTTTTTTGTTTGTTTGTTTTTTTTTTTAAATTAAAGCAATAAAACAAATCTCAATCTATACTTCATACTCCCTAAAAATGTAATGCCATATTTCAGTGTCCAAGCTGACTGATGATTGAGAGGTCTTTAATGTTTGTTTTGAGAACTTCCTCTGTACAATTGAATCTAATTAATGTGTGTGTATCTTAGCTGGGCGAGGAACAGACGAACTTGTCATGTTTACCATAATCGCATGTCACAGTATTGACTCTTGTTAAGTCACATATTGACCAAGAGGCCTGTCAGCCTGTCTTAGTGACTCCAGATGTCTTCATCATGTTAAGTGCCAGGAAGCCTACAGAGCAGTTATGGCATTTGATTAACTGGGCGGATTCAGATTTGAATAGGTGAATATTCAATTCATTCAGAAAATGATGTAACTGTAAAAATTACAGTACAAGGAACCAATTACACACATAGATTCCGGAGATTTATCAAGTGTAATACTAAGTAATTTTCCAGTCTATTTGAAAGGCAATGCTAAGTTGCTGAGGCGAGACTTTCTCTATTCCCTGTTTCGCAAAATTATTTTTTTTAAAGATCGTCAGATGAGCGAAAAAAAAAAAATTAAATTAATGTTTTCTTATTTAGCAAATAATTTTGCCAAAAACATCCTGACGGAGGATAAAATAAAAATAAACTTTTATTATTGAATGTAGACAGTATGTTAATGGATGGTTAAATTCTTTAAATTTATATAGATACTATAGGAAGAAATAAGCATCTTATTTTTGGAAATTTCAAGGCAGCGCCGAACGTAATAAAAAAAAAAAAACTTTTATTATTTCTGAAATTTCCAGTTTTCCACGGCAGCGAGCACACTAATTGGACAAAAATTGGAGGGCGGCAGGTTCGTGAAACAAGGTATAAAAAAAGTTTCGCCTATTGTAAAGGCAAAATAAAAATTGTATTATTGCCTGACAAATAAATATACAGGTATGAAAACTAGTAGGCCCTACATGTGTCTATTTGACAGGCAATAATATTTATTTTACCATAGCATGGATACTGTAACTAATATAAAAAAATTGACGGCAATGATAAAACTATCATCTGATGGAAACTATGAACTATTAACGACAAAAATATTTATCTTGACTGACAATGTGAAAAGCAAGTTTGCTATGTACAATTCTAAGCCCTTTTTGATAACAAGCCTATTTACATATTTTGGGTCAATAGATCTTTATCAAATATACAGTAGGTACAGTATTTAAAAATGTTGATAATTTCAAATTAAGGTCAAAGTCACTTAAAGATACAGTAAACATTTTAAAATAAAATTAAATGACATTCTAATGTTTTTTACAATAAGAATGGATTATTAAACTTTTAAACTTATGTATGCCGTTAACAAGTGCATAACTAAGTAATCATTGTGGAATTCAGTTCTTTATGTGTAATTGCATATTTCATTCTCATCATTTGCGAAAAATTGTGTTAGATTTTCTATGAACTTTTTTCAAAATGAAGTTTTAAGAAAGAAAAAAAAGTTATCTTTGAATAGCATTTTATTATGACATTCTAAGTAAGTGGTAACCGATCACTGCTGTTGGCAATTTCTTCAGAAAATGAAAAGCCAATCTTGTCATCAAACCACATGAAAAAACAATTTAACCAGCTTCTACCAGATGACCTTGCCTATGCCAGGACTCAACAGGGGCATCCGAGTACTTGAATATAGACTAAACGGCACCAAGTACCCTGGGGTCACGCTAGCGCTGGCTTGTCAGTCATACCTGCCAATCATAACTTCTCTGTTTGCTTTCTTGTGAATTTACTAAACTAGTAATAACCGAATTAATTCAGCTGGGGAATAATACTACCAAAGTGCATTTGTGTTTCAAATCTAGAAAAAAAACAATGATATCAAACTATCCAACCTACTTATGAAACTTTAAAAAAACTATAACAATCTGTATTCTGAATCTAAAATGTCAATCATCGTTGTTTCAAAAGTACAGGTCTCCCTCCAACTAAAGACCACTTTTGAAATGGGATTTTTATGGTCTTTAGCAGCAATAGTCTCTAATAAGATAAAAAATATTTTTGAATTTGGGACCATAGACAAGTGGTCTTTAATTGGAGGTAGTCTTTAATTAGAAGGAGACCTATTTTCAACAGTTCAGTAGATCTGCATTGTTCCTGTACTGGTGGTGTTGGCTAATGGATCATAAAGTAAAGGCTCATAAAACATTTATAGACAAGAGGGAAGATTAATAACGTCGATAATAAAATATTCAGGCTAGCATGGGTTTGGAATATAAATTACATGGTAAACATTTTTTTTGTTAGATACAGTACATACCCATTTACTGGATCCAACGCAATCGCACGTGGTTGGTCCAAATCCTCCCAAAATAGAACTTTTCTCGAACTGCCATCAAGGTTGGCCACCTCAATGCGTTTTGTTTCTGAGTCCGTCCAATATATTTTACGACCAATCCAGTCGCATGCGAGTCCATCATTTGATATGAGGCCCGATGTAATAATGTCCTCCTCTTCATTGCCCCGCGTACCATTAAAAAATGTTTTACTAATGCGGGCAAGATTGATGTCCGTCCAAAAGAAATATTGCTCCTCATATATAAAATCCACAGCAGCGGCATCGTCTAGACCGTTTATTACCACCGCATGGCTAGTCTTCGGTTTATCACTCCCGGCATCGATAAGGCGGATATCTCTACGATTTGCATACACAAGATACGGTTCGGCTACGAAAGAAAATGAACAATTTTTAGCAAGTAAAACAACATAGAAACAGGTACTGGTAGGGTAGATTAATATCTCCCAGTTACATAATTGGGCGATGTTATTACTGTAGAGGATGTTATTGTAGAGAAGTATGGATTAGAGATTTAAGTGCTTCCCTTCCGACTTCCACCTTCCTTAAAATAAACCAAAAAAAAAAAAAAACCACCAAAAAAAACCCTTGTAACACTGACAATACTGTACTATACTTTCTACAGTACATTTCATTTTTAAAACGAGAGCACCAACGATGCAATAATACCCTGTGGTTTTGGGTTGTGTTGTTGCCATGTACAGTAAATTTAAAATTAAAAAGTTTATTTAACGTGGCAGTTAGGAATCATGAATTTAACCAGTCAAGGCAGACGTTAACTGTAATTTCTACGTTTCATATATATTTAAAAAAAAAAAAAAATTCAAGGTATCGTTTCTAATGATGATCAGCTTAGTCTGCTGTTGCAGTATACAGTGCAAGGCATGATAGACTTAAACCTATGCCAGTACAGTAGTGGTGTTACTTCATGTCAATAACTGATGAATGTACCGGCCTATATTCAAGAATGAACTGTTGATGGATCTGTTAAATCTATGCTTTTAAGCAGTGTCAATAACAAATGATATTTTGAAGTTGTGTCTTATAAAGTACATCAATGTCACTGTGGAAACATTAAAGCTGATCCTAAGGGGCCATAAAAAAAATCAATGATTGCTACCTTATATATAATTATTAAATTAAAGATAAAAATAAGGTACAGATAATAAAAAATTATGTAACAAAGAAAATTAAGTGTTTGAAAATAATCAATGTGATTTAAACCTACAGTAAATCCAGTATACTGTAAATATTGTTTTTATTAAAGTAAAACTGTACATTACATCGAATTACTAATTTAACTACACATCAAATTACTAAGTCTGTGCATGTACTGTACATTTAAAAAGTAAAACTGCACATCAACAATTATTTACATCTTCTGTACTTTTATTTACATAGTCTGATTAACCAATCTATGGGTATTGCTAAACCCCGCAAACCTAAAAAAAAACACTGCAAACCCCATCCAAACCTTGTGATAATGCTTGAATCACATAGTATAAGACTCAACTTGGTATCTCAATAAAAAAAAAATCTTAATTTTATGTTCGCCACAACCTATTATTGGGGTAAAAAGGCCATTTTTTGTATAGAAAAATTGCTAAACCCAGCAAACCCCCAAAAACACAGTGCAAACTCCATCCAAACCCTGTGATAGTGATTGAATCACATAGTATAGGACTTAAATTAGTATCTCATTTAAAAAAATCTTAATTTTATGTTCGTCACAACCTATTTTTGGGGTAAAAATGGCATTTTTTATATAAAAAAATTTCTAAACCCCGCAAACCCACCAAAACACAGTGCAAACCCTATCCAAACCCTAAATTTAACCAATCTACGGGTATTGCTAAACCCAATCTATTTGTAATTTATGAAAGACTAATTGAGTAAATTAATCAACCTACAGTATTTATAAGTCATAAATAAATTGATAAATTTCTTTTAGTGTATAGATTTTAAATAGATCAATTACAATTGCTGAAGATGGCTTGTATAATTTATTTCATCTTCCTAAACAATGTTGAGAATTTATGAGTTACACAACATTTAATTTTTGTTTAAACTTGTACCTATTACGAGAAAATATAAATGAATCTATTACCATTTATTCTTCATCAAATAATGAGTTAATAGACTATTACTTATTCTCAACTTAAAATTTATAAGAAAAATTATTTTATACTGTAAGATTGTTAAAATTACATAATTATTACACTACACGATGTATTTCACAAAGTTTCTTTATCGAACATGTTATTTCACAAGATACAAACACGTTATCAATACAATTCTCAACGGATAAACATTAAAATGGGAATGCTTTCTTCAACTAACACCTAGGGTGTAGAAGGCTATGGTTGCCAAGTGTTGAAATTATCGATAGGCCCGTGTATTGTTCGCCACTTTCGCACCATTCATCTCGTTTATTATAGCCCAGTAATTAATTCCCTTCCCCATGAAATGTTCTAATTAATACAGTTTCAAGCATGGCAGCTTATTGCAGGAAGGCTTGAGATACTGAAAGACAACAGGTTTATGTGTGCAAACAAGTGTTGAAAAACTAAATTATATCGAATTCTAATTCTATTGGGATGCTACAATAAATATAGACATCAGCACCATTTATTTGTACACATATCATAAGCAAAAAGAAAGAGGTCCCATTATGATAATAAATAGTGAACTGCAATTTAGCAATGACCTTTGAACCATTAGGGACCAGCAGCAAATCTCAAAAACAAACCACTTCTCACCTACTGCAACAACAGTAATGAAAGTAAAATTGCTAACACAGTCCTGTTACCATTTCTGAATAATTAGTGGAGCATGTGTTCCCAGTTAAATTGGTCTGTCTCAACATGGAACTCTACAGTATAGTATTCTTGATACAAAAAAATACATTAGCAAACATGTCAACTAGATCAGAATTAAAGCATTGACTGTTTTAGAAAGTGTTTGATCATTGGAATTAAGTGTAAATTTATGGAGGATGAAGTACAGTGCAGTATCAAAAGAGATGTAGTACTAAGAATGTTTATTTTTTTTGTTGATATTAATTCAGTACTTATCTTGTTATCCACAATATGAAAGTACCTCTTATTTACCAATCTATTCCCAACATACAGTACTGCAAACAAATCAAGACATTTTTAACCTTGGGCAGTATCAATACATTATCGTGAATGATTTAATAATGAGCACCTCTCTCCCGTAAGCGGATTGAATAAGCGGTCTCTCAAAAGCGGTGTTCTCGAATAAGTGTCATATTCAATAAGCGGCACACCAGCTCTCAAATACCAGTAAGCACTATCTCTTATTTTAAATAAACGTTTTACCACTTAATCGTGAGTAACATATTTCACAACTTCCCTTATGGTTTGTATCATCCAAAAATTAAAACAACCTAAGAAATTAACATCTAATATTGCAACAATTTAGAAACAGTACTGTAGGCTTACACAGTAAGTACAGTATAAGACATCAGTAACAAATAAAAAGTTTAATAACTAATAAATCCTAATTTAATAATATAATAATAACAAAACCGATTTTTTATCAAATCTAGATTTAATAAGATGTACAATTTTTGTGTAGAGTTAAGTTTATGATTCTTAATTTTTATTAGATCATCTCAATTTAAAAACATGCTGTAATATAATAAAATTGTATTTGAAAACATTTAAATTCCTTTGTTTCTTTATGTGTTAATGAAAATGTTAAAGTACTGTAGAGACTACGCTAATAATAGATTATCAAAACAATCGGTTTTGATGAATGAGGCATACTGTACTCCAGACATTGATTTCATTTGCTCAGGAAAGTAGTTTAGTACTAGAATAGTGTAAAAATAGTCACAACTAACAAATGGAAGCATTCCGCAGTCCTGTACTCAATTGGCCAAGTATTTTAGCAGTGATCAAGAGTCTATTGTGCTGTAGTTCTGTAAGCTTAGCGAATGCACAATAGAACACACATTTCAAGCATCCGCATGACCGCTGAACAAAGCCTCATTGCCTGCACCCCATTCTTTTCGGGCCAACTCTAATGAGAAAAATAGCCCGAGAAGCAAAGCAAGTAACAAATACTAGGCCAGCAATTTAGTTCAGGGGGGTCCTGGTACAAGAACTGCAGAAATCATTTTCCACTCCAGTAGCATGGCCTGAATGATCATTCACATTATTCTTAGGCCAAGTTCTACAGCGGAACTTTTTAATTGCAATTTATTTATCTATAGTAATTCTAGGGTTCATTGCAAATGATCAATAGCATTGGCAGATCAAGGATCTGAGGGGAGCTTGGGAAGGGAATTTTGTTTTTAGATGGAGAGTCTAAGCCAAAAAAAACACAATTTTGTACCTCTCACCATGAAAATTATCTTGATACCTTATAAGTGCCTACTACAGCACCAAATGATACATGTACACCACTTATACTGTAGTTTAACAGAAATGGTCAGGAGTGTGCACAAAAAGAAAAAAAAAATTATTTTCCCGGTGACATGCGGAAGTGCACAATGCCTCCAGTAAATATGCAGCACCAACACTGGTTGTCCAGCAAAGAAAAAAACAAAATGCCTGCAAATGCTGGTCACAAGGTTTTGCATATTTCTCCAGCCCATACTACTACTACTTTAGTCCCACCATGGTCGGGGCTGTAGTAGAAAATGTTATGTAGAGTATGGCCAGAATTGACACACTAAAAAAAAAAAAAAAAAATGCAATTCTTCTTATTCCATTTCTTTATTTTCAAACATTGTGTGGGGAAGGGGGAGGGATACAGGTCTGATGGAGCGCAAAGCCGACTGGATCTGCACTAACCCAGGCAGTCTAGTCCAGTCAACTTATACACAATGTAGGCTACAATATACATCAAAACAATGGTATACAGTGTATTGTCAACAGGCAAATGACTTCAGTATGAAACAGGCTCAAGAAATTTAAATGTCAACTTGTCAGACAGTCACATTAGTGGACAAGTGAATTATCTAATGAGTACCTGAAGGTCACTAAAGGCGCTGCTAATCTTACCTATCAGGTGAAAACATTTTTTTCAGTAATACCTAATCAAATTTAATGGGTTGCTGCGTTGTGAGAATTTTGCTTCAATTACAGTAAAGCATAGTAGTTTGACAAACGAAAAAAAAAATGATTTAATGTATTAAAATGTTTTAAAAAAAGAGAAGAAACATCGTAAGTACACGTCCATCACTCATCTGCGATAAGTCTTTAATCAGACAGCATTTCCAGAGATAAAATGCAGATCTATACAGAAGAAATCATGTCAGGTTTTATGAATTACTTCAATCATTTATATCGCTCTCTTCAATTTGTCATCTGTAGCCAGGCTTTAAGGAGCCGATCTGAC